TGTGTAATTGAGCGTTTAATTTTTATCAGTTTGTTTCATCTAGTGTGCCCTTTTAAAGACTATAAGAAAAGAGACATATCTGGTCAGTGAAGAAGGATATTTGGGTGAGGTTATATCTCTGGCTACTTGACCTACAGAATATGTAGAAGAGGGTTAGGTAGCAGCTGGATGGAAGGAGGGTGGAACTCATCAGTCTTGGGGCTGGGAGACTTGGTCTGTGCTCAGTGGTACATCTTCTGTTCGTTTATATTATGGTAATAGTAGTAATATTAAACAATCCATAGAATTTCTGACCTGCACACCATGAGGACTTTCCATGAGTCCCGAGTAAGTCAATATAAGTAGAAATCTTGGTCTCTACCACTGGGTAAAGTCCCTTAGGCGCATCTTTGGTGGCAGAAGAGGCAGTTTCTTACAAAGTAAAACCACACCAAGTAGGTGTTGGACTGTAAGCTCTGGGCAGTGTCTCACATGTGTTGTTACCCTGGTGCCTATCCCAAGGATGTTCAGGTTGTAATAGGAATGAATGGAGACTTATGTTGCCCCTTACCTAAAAATCCAATATGTGGAAAGAAGATCCTTTTTTAAAAGAAATAGTATTTATGAACACCAACTCCTTAAATAAGTGTAGAGTTTAATTTTCAAAAATAGGTTTCATTTTCTAAGAACCCTGTAATTTTAATTTATATATTCTATAAATAAGTTATGTTATTCATTTTGTGATTTAAGAGCCCTGAAGAGATTATAATATACACTCAAGCTTTCTTTTTCTTCTTTCTCTGCAAAAAGAGAGTTTGAGGGATGGAAGACAAAGGCTACTTGCTAATCATCTTACAGGGTGTTCAGGGCTGTTCCAACACTCTCTAGTAGTCCTGGGTGGCTTTACATGCAGATCTAATTACATAAAAGAGATGATTAAAAATATTTTTCTACCTCATGAGAGTGAGGCCCTGTTTACTGTGTTTCAGACTTTCTGTAGCTTCAACAACATCTGACACAGAACTACCCACAGTAATAAATACCACCATTATTAGTACTACCACTACTACTATCACCACCACCACCAACAATAACATCACTACCACCATCACCACTACTGGTACCATAATGACTACTTTTATGACTACCACCATAACTATCACCAAAAATTCTGTCACCACCAACACCATCACAATTATCACTGCCAACATCACCACCATCATGATCACCACAAATACTATTACCTTCACCATCATCACTGTGACCAAAACCATTATGACCACAATCATTTCCATTATCACAATTACCAATAGCACAAACACTGTAATCATAACCACAATATTTACCATTGCATCACCTCTACCAGTGCTACCAATATCAGTAGCAGCAGCAGCAACAGCAATACCACCTGATAATCATCACAGTAATCATCCCTGCCCTAACTACCAGCACTATTAACACAACTATGAGCATCACCATCAGCATTACCATAAACCACCAGTACCATCATCACCAGGCCAAACCCACCACTACCATCATCAACATGTGTATTAGTTACTTTTCTGTTGCTGTGATAAAACAATGTGACTAAGGGGACTTATTGAAGGTAGAGTTTATTTGAGCTCATGGTTCCAGAGGTATTAGAGTCCACCATGGTGGGGAATTATAGTGGCAAGAGGTGACTGGAGTGGAAAAAGGAGTGCTCACATCTTCAAGCAGGCACAGGAAGCAGAGAGGGACTTGAACTCTTAAAGCCCACCTCCAGTGAGGTGCTTCCTCTAGCATGGTCACACCTCCTAAACCGTCCCTAAACAGCGCCACCAACTGGGGACAAAAAGTTCAAATACTTGGAGCCTATGGGGGACATTCTCATTCAAACCACCACACCACGTAAACCATCATCATTACCACTACCATCATCATCACCACCACTATCACTATTAAAATCAACATCACCATTACCATCACCTGAAAACTCAGTATTGTGGGGGTAAAGATGGGAGGATTTCTAGGGCTTGCTGGCTGCCAGTCTAGCTCCATATTTAGTGAGAAACTCCATGTCAAGGGAATAGGCATAGAGCCACCTGACCTCTTCCTCTGTCCTCCATATGTAATGCAGGATATGTACACCCAAACCCACATATGCACATATACCACACATACAACACACACACACACACACACACACACACACACACACACATACACACACACACGAAAAAACTCAATACTACAGCACACATCCTTGTATAATGCTTAAACAATCTATCAATCACAAAAGCTCCTCAGCACCTTTTATAAGCTACTTGTTATAAGGAAATACCCAATGCCATCCTCTCTAGATTACTGTGAGAAATGGTCAAAAAATTTTCACAAATGAAAACTAATCAAAGACAAAGATTTATTTGTGTGATTTTAGATTGCAGCAAGAAGCTGCCCTCTTGGGAGGGGACCCAGGCCAGCCCTGACGATGAAGGTCCTGAAGAGATTGTGGAGGTGTGAGGAGGCAGAAGGTGTATGTATGCTGAGATCCATCTCTTTACAGTCTCCCACTGTGTCCCAGGCTGTCTCTGAGTGGTGTGGGCGCTCTGCTACCACCTCCACTGCTTTGGCTGGTCCCTGCTGTGTAAGCTTTGTGGTTTGTGTCTTCTGTTGAAAAATTCAGTTTGACTCAGCAGTGCTTTATGGTAACTTCTGTTACAACTTAGCAGGTTGTCCTGTTTTTAAGATCCTTTTGCTAGTGCTGGTGGAGCACGAGGTATAGCCCAGAATAGCTACATGCAGGCTGAGCAGTTCTTGTTTGTTTGTTTGTTTGTTTATTTATTTATTATTTATTCATTTATTTTTTGAGACAGATTCTCATGTAGTCCAGGCTAACCTCACACTGGCTGTGTAGACAAAGATGACCTTCAACTTAAAATCTTCCTGCCTTTACTTCCTGAATGCTGGGATTACAGGTGTGTGTGACCATATAGTTTATGGAGTACTGGGGGTTGAACTCAGAGTTTCTTGCATGGTGGGTAAGAACTCTACCAACTGAGCTACATCCCCAGCTCAGGAGTTCCCTTAATCTTTTAGGGTCCTCCACTCAGGTGAAGTCAGATCCTTGATTTCACTGCAGAAAAAAGTATGAAGCAGAGTTTGGGTTTATTAAAAGAAGATTTTTAATATAGATGTAAGCATGTGGGCTGATAGAAAGTGGTGCTCAGAGAAACATCAAGACACATCTGTGACACAGTGTGGGCTTCTCAGGATGAGCCCATTGCACTGTCATTACAGTAATCATAAGTAGTATTTGGGTGATTTCTTTTTAAGCAGTTTTTTTTACAGTGTGTGTGTGTGTGTGTGTGTGTGTGTGTGTGTGTGTGTGTGTCAGGCAGCCTTGAATGTCATTCCTCAGGTACCTTCCACTCTGAGGCAGGGTCTCTCACTGACCTGGAACTTCAACCAAGCAGGTAGACTAGCTGACCAGTGAGCTTTCAGGGATCCACCTGTCTCTGCCTCATGGCTCACCATCACTGGTTACAAACATACCACATGGGTTCTGAGAACTGAACTCAGGTCACCAGGGTTGGCAGAAAACACCTTTTCTCATCTTGCCATCTTGCTGCCCTGATTTTGGTGATTTCTGAAGTAGCCATCTTCAAAGAATGGTGAAAGAACTTAAATGAGATTCCAGGGTGTTTCCTGAGGGGTACCTGGCAGTATTACAGTGAAAAAGGTAAAACTCTAGATCACAAGGCTATAGGAAGGCAGGATATCTTCACTGTAAACAGAGTTAGTATCTGATTTGTGAGATTCCAGAAGATACCCAGGAGGAACAAGGTCATACTGGAGGTCATGTAAACTCAGGCCTCAAGCCTGGTTCATTGCTATTTTGACATTCTTATTAAGACTTATTTTATTACTTTTAAAAATTATGTGTATGTGTGGGTATGTGCATGTGAATGCAGGTGCCTTCAAAGGTCAGACAGGGGCACTGGATCCCCTGGAGCTGGAGTTATAGGCAGCTGGGAGCTAATCAATATGGGTGCTTGGAATTGAACCCAGGTCCTCTGGAAGAGCAGCAGCAAGAGCTATTAATGACTGAGCCATCTCTCCAGCCCCAATTTTAATGTTCTTGTTTGTAAATATTTCTTTCTATAAGAAATACTACCTTTATGTAGACAACCTTAATAAAAATGTTAATTTTGCTGGAATTCTTGATTCTTGGTTGATGAGAAGCTTTAACCAGACTGTACAGTGGGGGTGCCTTTCTCCCTCTGCATCGCCATAATTCCCCTGTCTTTCTATCCTGCTTCACTTTCACCTAGTCCATCACCTGGCCATGCAGGAGTCAGTTGCTTGGTCATGTCCAGTGTCCTTGCTGACTGGGACATTGGAGGCAGGTATGTGCTGATTTGTGCTCAGCTTTGGCTGGGAATTGCCTCTCACATATATCTCCTCTGTGCCCTGCATACCCTGGTTGCTGCCAGTGTTTGGTATCATTATTTGCCCCAGAAAAATTCTTTTAACTGTTACTTTCACCTTTCTGGGCCTCCGTCTCTCACAGCTGCAATTTCTGGTCTTTTTGAGTAATGAGAAAGTAGAATAGAAATCTTATAAGTGCTGGCAAAATGCGAAGTGCCTCTCACGCTTCCTACAGACCTGTGAAGCTGTCCTTTCATTCCCAGCCCTCTCTCCTCTGAGACCCTTTGACAGTAGTCACTGTCTTCATTCAGCCTCAGTCCAAGACATCCAGTACAATCCTTGGCTCCTGGTCCTATATTTCCTTCTGTTTCCCCTTTCTTGTGTTTCTCTCCCCTCACTGATACATTTATCTGTGGCATATTTGTCCTCTGATCTCAGAACTGTACCATTTTGCCTCTGGGTCTCATGAGCACTGAGCAGAGCATCAGTCTCTCTATTGAAGCAACATTTCCTGAAACCTGCCTACTTTCATGCCTTTTCTCCTTCCCTTTTTTCTTTTGATCAGTCCATTGAGTTTTAGCTCTTACCTCTGAAATGTCATATGCTAGAGTCATCAATCCCTTGCCAAATGCAAGAGACACTTGCAGATCACTTCATCCACGTTTTCTTCTGCAGGGCTGAAAAAGCAAAAAGATTTTAAGTCTTCACAAACACATAGAGAAAAGTAAATCATTATTGACTGTTAGTAGGAGTGTAAGTTAGTACAGCCATCATGGGAAACAAAATGAAAGCTCCTCAAAATATTAAAAATAAAACTACCATACAACCCATTAATCATAGTCCTGGGAAAGTATGAAAAGGAAAATAAATTAGTTATGTTGAAGAGATATCTGCATGCTTGAGTTCTTTGTAGCACTCTTTAAAATAGCCAAGATACCTAATCAGCCTGTGTCTATCAAGTGGGTAAAGAAAATGTGGTGTGCATATGCAATGGAATAGAACCCTGTCATTTGCCATAAAATGGGTAATCCCACAGTACTCAACGAAATAAACCAGGCAGAGAAGAATAAAAACTGCAAAACTTTACTCATACATGGAAACTGAAAGATTTGTTTCCATTGAAGATAAGAGTGTGACAGGTTAGCTGATAGAATCAGTCAGGGAATGGAAAGAGGTTGGTAAATGGTTATAGTGTATCAATTAGAGGGGAGGAATTAGTTCTAGTATTCTCCTGCATATTAGGTTGGTTGTGTTGATAATAATATATAATGTATGTATTAGTTACTTTTCTGTTGCTATGGTAAAACATGACCAAAGCAACTTTTAGAAGATTCTATTTTGGCTTATGGTTCCAAATGGATAAGAGTCCATCACAGCTCAGAGCAGCATGGCAGCAAGCAGCAGGAGTGGTGACAGGACTGGGAAGCCAAGAGCTCACATCTTCAACAATAAACACAACTCAGGGAGTGAACTGCAAGTGGGGCAAGGCTGTGAGCACTCAAGGTCCACTCTCAATGACGTACTTCCCCCAGCAAAGTCACACCTTCTAAAGGTTTCATGACCTTCCCCTAACAAGTGCCACCGACCAGAAACCAAGTATTCAAATTTGAGCCTATGGATACATCTCTCTTTCAGACCATTACAGTACATTTCATCACAATTGAGAGGATTTTGAATGCTACCACCACAAATGATGATTGCTTTGGTGATGGATATGGTAATTATCCTGATTTGATCCTTATATGTGCTTCAAAACATTGCAAGGAATGTATAATTACCTCTCAATAAGAAACAAAATGAAATTAATATAAATTAGGAAACAAATGAGTAAATTAATTTAGGTGTTTATTCAGCCAAAATTTATTGAGTTTCTATGCTGCAGCATTTGTCTAACATGGCATGGTGTTGAGCTGCTGTCCCTGTGGAGTCTATATCCTGGGAGGGGTTGTTCTAGTTTGCTTTTCTGTTGTTGTGATAAAACACTCTGACCAAAAGCAACTTATGGGAGGAAGGAGTTTATTTCCACTTACACTTCCAGGTAACTATTTATTATGGAGAGCAGAACTCAAAGCAGGAACCTGAAACAGAAACCATGGAGGAAGGCTGCTTATTGGTTCACTCACTGGCTAATGCTCAGATATTTCTTATTAAGTTGAAAATCATGATTAAGCATCACAACTTGCTATTTTTTTTTATGGAAAATTCTAGAACATGCTTTTTTTCTACTAATTGGGATGATGGAGTAGAGAGGGAAAGTTTGAGGAACCAGAAGAGATGGAAATTGCAAAGGACGATTTTCTAGAGACAGGAGAATGGCTAGGATCTGAGGCCCACAAAAGCCAGATGGTCATAGACTAGAAGAGGAAGAACTTTCTAGTTGAGGCTGAAGGATAAGATGGCATGGATGTGGTGTATGAGTCTCCAGTTTTTCTCTCCGCATCTACATCTCTCTCATCTTCATCTCCTGTAGTTCAGATTTGTACATCTCCACAGCATCATCACTAGTACCAAACATGGCATCTCTCTCAGCTTCACAAAAAGTCATTTTCCTTTTACCTGATGGTTTTCTTATGAAGAGCAGTTGCATATGTTTTGTATTTCCTCACAGGCACTGAATGGGTAGGAACTTCAGGGTCCAAACCTAGTTTTATAGAGAAGGAAAGGGAGGCTTTGAGAAGTCAGGATGTACAGAAATGTGGCTTGTTCTTTGCTGGATAATACCCATTTTTAGTCACCGTTCAGCCCTGACCTGTTGTCAGGAAAGGACTTAGCAGTAAATGCACTTATCCATAATCTCAAAACAAAACTACATTTGTTCCACATGCTGTTTCTTTACAAAGACATGCTGGATGAAAAAGCAAAGAAAAATTCACTGAGATTAAAAAGCTACTTCAGGGGCTGGAGAAAAGCCTCAACAGTTAAGAGCACTGGCTGCTCTTGCAAAGGACTGGTGTTTAGTTCCCAGCACACAGATGGTGGCTAACAACCATCTGCTAACCCCAGTTCCAGGGGATCTGATGTTCTCTTCTGGCCTCTGTGGGCATTACATGTTATGGGTGTACTCTCACACTCTGTATGCAGGCAATCCAATCGTACACATAAAATAAAAATAATAAATAATAGTTTAGTCAACTAGTTTAAGGAACAAAATATATGTCTAATAAAGGTTTATCTGAGAACGTTTGGTTTTTGCCAAACTTTATCTAGTTTTATCTACATAGTACATGGTAATTAAAATACCAGACTGGTGGAACTAACCTTCTTGGATGTTTAACAGCCATACTTGGAGGCCAATACTAATCTGGTCAGAGGGACTTAAAGGACAATTTTTCCTCCTTGCCCTCCAAGATCCACTAAGTTCCAGGGGACTATGGAGCATCTATCAAAATGTCCTGTAACTGTGGTGAGTCACCTGTCCTCCTGTTTAGGGAGGCCATGGAGACCTCACCAGATGGGCTTGAACCAGTGTCCAGTCTACAAAGAAGAGGGTCAACTCAGAGGAAACATTTCCTCCATGCTTCCAAGTGAAGCCAACCATGGTCGAGGAGGACCTTTGACTTATCTTCACATAGATGGAACTGGTAAAAGAAAGGAGCCAGGAGCTCCTCCCAAGCCCATGTGACCCCTGAGGAACAGATCCTCAAATGACCTTAAGAGTAAAAATAAATTGATTTATTTGGACCAACTCTATGGTTTTAAACACACAAAAGGAAAGTATAACCAAAGAGTAAATTCATCAGTATAGTTCTTTAAGAGTTCAAGGGATTACACCTCCCAAACATTAGGCTTAAGTCTGTATAAAAAGTTATTTAGACAATTAATTCTCATTGATGATTTTGTTCCTAACCAGAAAGTGCTGCTTATATGTAAGAGTTCAAATCTTGGTCTCCAATACTGTAGTGCGCACCTGTAGCTAAGGGAGACAACCAGCTCTTGTTCTAAAATGATGGGTAGCTTTGTTTTCTCCCCCTATTTAGAAGCCTTTGAGAGGGAACTGACGCTGATTCTAACCACTCCAACAGCTATCAAAGTGCCTGAAAACAAATCCTGAGTCATCACTCTTGAGTCCAGCCTTGGCAGACAAAAGAAAATGAGGAGGAACCCAAAAGAAGGATGATTTTGGAAGCTCTTGTCAAGAAATCCCAATGGACTCTCATATGAACATTTGAAATTTGCCGTGTTCTGACTTTTTTCTGGCTCCCTGCCTAGAACTTGTAATGTTAAGTACACTAACCTTTGCTTCTCCTTCATATTCCTTATTCACCAGTCACGGACTTTCTCTTCTCCCTACAGATAAGAGTTATGCAATCTGGGAGTCTTTTAGACAGACCCACTGAAGGGGTACCCCAATTGCCTTGCCCTGCGTCCCTGTTCAGCATGGAAGAAACCAGAACGGTCTGCATCCCAATTCCCTATTGGCAATTTGGGTAACCCCGTCAGAGGATGGTATGATAAGAATAGGAGGTAGGAATTGGCTAGGCAGTTAGGATTAAAAATGACCCTAAAGAAAAGTAGCCAGTCTCTTGGCCAAAAGTCAAAATGTCCTTGGGCCACTTATCAACATACTCTGTTCCAAAGGCCAAAATTGTCAAAAGTATTTGGGAGCTCTTATCTGATCCCTAAAAGGATTTTCAGGTTACCTCTTCAGAGTGGGGAATATCAGAGTAGCAAAAAGCCCCATTAAAAAGGAAAGAAAGAAAGACTACATGAAGTTGTCAGGTAAAAGTGATGGAGAGATTACGAGGTGTTGGAGGGGAGGGAGTGAGCATGGATTTGATCAAAACACCTTACATGCATGTATGAAATTCCCAATACAGTTTTTTTTAAGTTAAAAAGAATAATAAAATAAAATTCACCTTGAGGAAAAAAATTATAAAAGCTACTTCTGGGCAGGGTATTACTACCCCAAAGAAGACAGAGATTAAAGAATATAAATAAATAATTCAAATGAGCAATATAAAAATTAAGGAATGTAAATATATTCTGACATTCTTTTTTCTTTTAGTGTGTGTGTGTGTGTGTGTGTGTGTGTGTGTGTGTGTGTACACATGGTCGTGTGCAAGCACTAAGGCCAGGAGGATGTCAGGTGTCCTATTCTATAACTTTCTGCCTTATTCCCTTGAGACAAAGTCTCTGACTGAGTCTGGAGCTCACTGCCTTTCAGCTACACTGGCTGGCCAATAAACCCTTACCTCTGCCCTGCCTCAGTGTTGGGATCCCAGGTGAAGTGGCTAAGCCAAACTTTTATGTGGATGCTGAGAATCTGAACTCAAGAATCTCATGGTTATGTAGTAAGCACTGTTAACCCATTGAACCATCAGCCTCAGAATGTAAATGTATTCTGAATGCAGAATAGGGGTTGTGCCTCAGGGAAACAGCTGCTGGGTAGCATTCTGAAAGAGGAGAATGCTATCTATAAAGCAAACAAAGGTAATCTATATCTTGAGTTACATATACCCTTTTTCTAGTTTGTTTCTCCATTCTGGTGACAAAGTACAGTGGCCAATACCAACCTGGGGAGGAAAAGGTTTATATGGCTTACATCTCCCTGGTCACAGTTCATCAGGGAGTCCTCAGGGCAGGAACCTGGAGGCAGGTGCTGAAGCACAGGCCACGGAGGAATGCTGCATACTACCTTGGTCCTCTGGCTCTTGCTCAACTGCTTTCCTATACAACACAGGCCTATCTGCCCAGGGCTGGCACCACCCACAGTGCTCTGGGCCCTCCTACATCACTCCATAATCAAGAAGATGTCCCATTGACGTGGCCACAGGCCAGTTCAATGGAGGGAATTCACCAATTGAGGCTCCCTCAACCCAGGTACGTCAAGCTGACAACTAAAGCTATCCAGCACACCCTTGCAGCCAGAACAAGGTGTTTCTTTTCTCCTTTATTCTCATTTCTCCAACCCAGGAGGTGTTCATTCACTGGGTCCACTGGTATCATATATCCCTATACAGGAGTCCATCTGAGAGGTGCACCTATGCAGAGCTGTGCAAGGCATGGCTTGCTGCCTGGATCCCATAGGGTCTTGCTTGTTCTTTAAAATAGGCCCCATTTGTCACTTCTTTCCTGGGCTGGAGCTCCTTGGATGATGGATTATTTCCTCTGGAGAAACTGCTTGATAAATACTTCTAAGAAGAAAAGACAGCTGAGGTGGCTCAATGGCTCAGATTATTCTGGAATAAACCTGAAAAGGGCTTTGATTGAAGGAGTGAGAGAGGAAGCTTCTCTTACAGGTTAGGGTTTTATTATAGTTTAGAAAGAGGTTAGGCATAAGGAGGGGATTGTTCTGAAGGTGGAAATAGCTTTATTTGTTGGTCAGATGGTGTTGATTAGACTGGAAGGAGCAGTAATGGTAGTTGGGGCCTGACTTTGGGGAAATTAAAACTATTAGTTACAAGAGAGGAAACCCATTCAGGCCAGAATGGGGTCTATTTTGAAGATAAGATAGTCACGTTCTTTTACCTCAATACTGATGAGTGTCGCATTTATGGGAGTCAGCAAGGACTACAAAATCATTTCTTACCTTAAATACGATGAATCTGAGGTCCAACCTATTAAGACTTGGTGATGTCTCATGTGAGGGACAACTGACAATCTCCAAATCGTCTTGTCTCCCTGGGCTTCCTCAGACCTCCAAGCTGTTTCTCTGGAGAAGTCCCATCAAGTCAGTGTTCTTGCTGCTCAGACCTGACTGTTAGGACTTCTTGAAGGCAAACATTCCAGGAGTATTGATTGATCATAACAAACAATCAAAAACTGCTGCTTCCTGCTTAAGTGGTTGAATCTATTTCTTACCATTACAGATGTTCCACTTTTATTAAGTGGATGAAATGTTAAATTTCCAGGCTGGGAGAACATATTAACCAATAGTACTCAGTGTGGGCTATGCCCACTGTTAGTAAAGGACTGGCTTCCAAGCTGTTCCTTATTATTACTCACCAGATTCATAACTTTTCCTGTTGCTGTGATAAATACTCCAACAAAAGCAACTTAAAGTAAAATGGGTTTATTTCTGCTCACAATTCCAGGGGATTGAGTCTATCATGGTGAGGAAAGGACTGCAGCAGGAGGAGCTCCTGTCCTAAAGGTTCAACAGCCTTCCCAAACACCACCACCACCTGAGAACCAAACGTTCAAACGTATGAGCCTCTGGGGGATTTCACACTCAAACCACAGCAGTTGCTATTTCAGAAAAGAAAAATTCATTTGTATTCTAATAACTTTGGGTGGTTAGTTGCTTTGTAGGACTTTTCCAGGCCTTGGGCAGATTGATATGCAAGGTAACTCTTCCCATGTAGCATTTCCCAGTATGCTCACCACAGAGCAAATTTCTCGGGGATTCGTTTTGTGTGTCATTGCTCCCTGGGAAGTACAATTAGAAACATGGTGCAGCACTTCCCCTTGATAACAGGACTTGTGTTGGCCCCATAAGTAGTAACTGCAGAGGCCCAGGTAAACTCAGAATTGCTTTAAGTCTGTTTCAGCTAAGGTGAAAACATGAACTTTTCTTGATGATGACAGCAGAACATATAAGCTTGTTTTTCAGATCACATGGGTATTGCTGTTGCTTCATTCCTCAAGACTTTGTCAAGTGCTGTGAAGACATAGGACTCGAGTTGGCAGAGACAAATGTTT